AGTAGCAAAAACAGCCTTGGAAACTGTTGAGATCACTAAGCTGGTACCCTAGCTTACTGATTCACCTAGCTCTGTGAATCAGTCTGCCATTGTACTAGCTTATTAATTTGAGATGACTTACGAAATTATTTCATATAAACAGACAACTATTATTTAATTACCTAGATACTTTGCAGGGGCCAAAATCGTTTGGTGGACTGGATTAGCAGAAACTACTAATGAATATTAATTTAATTAACAGTTATCATATTTTGCTTAGCATCTTTTTAAAATTCATTATTGAATGTTAGCACTAGTGCAAGTGACATCTTGGTGGCCTCCTGTTCATCTGTTATGAAGACTTTACTGCCTGTGAGCCCTGGGGAACAGTAGCTACATAATAGGCTGAAAACTGTATGGGGGTGATTGATAATAGTAGTACAGTACTCTGTCACACACCTGTAACTGCTTGTGCAAATGCCATGCCACTTTTTTTATTTGTGCTGACTGAGCTTTACTTTATTGCAAGGCAGAGAGCACCCATGCTATATCTCAGTCTTTTATTTGCTCTTTCTGGAGCTCCCATAGTGTTTTTGGCATTTAGCCACTGCATCTTGTCATTGATACTGTGGAAATGCTTTGAACTCCCACGTGGTGACCAGGATATTAATGAACAAATGGGATCACACCGTACAGCAAGACAATCCATCCATGTTTCTGTTTTGTGGTTCTGGTATATGCCACAGAAGGATTCTAAAACCTGTTATTTTATTCATTTTTAAATTTTTATGAATTTGGCAGCCATTTCAATTTTTCCCCTTGCTACTACTTTAGTACTTTTAAATAACATGCATGTTGTTCTGCCATCCACTTAAAGCTGATGATGTAAATGCATTAAACAAGGCCTCAGATTTAAATGTAATATCTGACATGCAAAAACTGATGGTTATTATATTCATGAATAATTACTTGAAAAGACACTGAGTTTTATTTAAAGTAAAGTTTTAGGCATAAATGTTTTATTTGAAAAGACTGCTTTTCTACTGGTAAATTTTTATCCGTGCTTAGTAGGGGTTGTGTCTTAGTCTAGGCATATATTTGCCCATTATGAAGCATTATATACAGAGAGTTTAGTTACACAGAAACTATGAATGCTCGCTATATTCTCAAACAAATCTTCATAATCTCTAGTTGCAGCTTAATTTTACATCTCGAACTAATGAAATCAGATAGTCAATAGTTACAGTAAATTATCAGGAACTGTATCAACTAGCTACTAGCTGTTTATTATCATTACAATGTATAAAGTTAAATACCATATCAAGTAATCCTTTTCCAATAGTTGAGCATAAAAAAGCCTGCAAAGAAGATAAATAAAAAACTGGAAATTTAAAATCCTGCAAATAGGGATCATAAGGAAAGTGAGGAAACAAGTCTGGAGGTACTGTAGATATTATTTACTCAAACTACAAATCCCTCGAGTGGTTGTTACTCTCTGAAGTTCTTTAGAATTGATTATAACCCATGTGTAAGATTACACTGAATTATAGTGTGTATAAACTCTATTTGAATAATCTGTTAATGCATGTATTTTATTTAGAAATGTTAATTTTGCACTTTATACAAGGGTTAAGACATTTTGACTTGGTGAGATAATGATTTGTGAGGGAGCCTTTTTATTATAACTAATCTTGGATTTCTGCAGTTTCAAAAACATGTCATATGAATCATTAAGAATGCATAAACTGTTTTCACATGTGGTTGAAACAAAATAAGTTTAGTATAAATGTGATTGATATTTGAAACCATCAACACTTAGTGAAACTTCATAATTACAGAATTGAGGAAAAACAAGACAATTGTGTGTTTCACAAATGCATCAATTATTCATGATTATGTTTTTCCTCAATTCTATAGTTAGTGAAATGTATAGATAGTGGGAGAATTATACAATGTACAGCTTTAATGGTTTGTACATGTGTGTAAAATAATGTGTTTAAAAGTAATGGAATGGCAAGGACATTGTTCTCTAAAATTGCACAAAATAGTTGTTCATTAGAATAGAAATTAAAGCTACAACAGATTTTTGAGGTAGAAAACGTAATCTAATCAACACAATCACAGGAGTGATAACACTAATTCATGGATCATGCACTTGTATATGTGTTATAGTTGAAGCTACCTACATTGGCAAAATCAAACACCATTTGATTGTATGAATACATGGGGATCTTCTGTAGAACCAGTCACAAAATATCTTCGACTGACTTTAAAGTTTTAGTTATTGACTGCAAAGACTTTAATTGCTCATTAAAGAAAGTTTACTTACTAAACCAAATCTCCCTAGCTTGAATAATAACTCAACTTTTGTTGAGTTAACTCCTTAAACTCGAGCAGATGCTACCAGCATCTGGACAAAAATCCTGATTTACCAATCAGATGGTAGCAGCATCCAATAACATTTGTCTCTTTGGGTAAAAACTAATCCAAATCATGTTGTTATCCACAAAATGAAGAAAATTTAAGTTTTATAAGATATGTGATAATTATTATGAAATCATGAAAATAATTCTGGCAGGACGTGAAAAAATAATGGGTTTAAAAAGTTAAGCTTATTCTAACTAATTCTTTCTTGCTAACTATATATTAACTAATTCATTTAATGTAGGGCTATATTATTTTTCAGTTTTACACGTTTCATTCACTTGCTTTAACACCCACCCCAGTTATTATTGAGTGATTAACTGTATTTATAATATTTTTGTTTATTGTAGTAATTTGCTGAAGATGGAATGTGTATATTCCAAAACTTTCAATAAATATCTTTTTATATGTCACTTCTGTGGTTGTGTTGTTCATTGTCAAAATAGCTACAGTATTACTTTTTTATAGCCATCAGTTTTAAGATAACATGACCAGGTTTAAATACAAATGAAAATTTTAAGTTTTAAAAGCTGCTGCAGATGTAATTCCAACATTTAGAAAGTTTCTTAATTATTACATTTTTCCCCATAGATTTTTTATGCTTATTTTAGTCACTGATTAATTATTACTGTAGCTACTCCAGATGAAGACAAAGATGATTTTCGTCAGCCTCTTTATAAAAATGTGGAAATAAATGGTGTTACAGTTCGGATGAAATGGTGTGTGACCTGCCAGTTTTACCGACCACCTCGTTGTTCTCACTGTAGTGTTTGTAATACATGTATAGAGGTAGGTTGTGACTTAATTTTTCTGCAAATTTCATTATTACAGTTGCATTCTTTGTTTTTATGGTAAATTGTATACTACAGTTTTGCAAGTCTCAAAGAAAAAGTTGCTGTTATTCTTAGTAGTCATTTTATGGGAAAGGTATAAAGAAAAGTCATTGATTCAAGAAATTATAAATTATATAGCAGCTGTTGTAAAACATGCCTATCTGTGGTGGTTTATAACAAGATTGTATTTCCCCTTTTGGGGAGAGGGGTTAAAATGAAATGCTCTCACATTCGTATAAATTCTGACTCAATTACCATCATTTATTGATAATATCTAATTAGAACCATTGATTATTAAAGCTATGTTAATTCATTTTGAAGGAACTAGATGTCCCACTTCCATTTTGTTTGTTTAGCTCTGTTTGTTATTTATGTGTGATTGCTTAATAATGTTCCAGTCTCGCCACAAAATGGTTGGTGTGCATGCTTTGAATGAAGTCTGTGCAGCAGGTGAACTGGAGCAACCTTTATTAACATGCTGGTGATGAGTCAGTAACGTAGGGATTTTATTTTCCATCTGAAGTTGAGACTGCTTAGTCTGCTATGTGATCATAAGCTGGATCAAGTGATGTGTCCACTTTCATCCCTATCATGTTTGGTTCCTTTTCTCAAGTTCAGTAGCCATCCCAATGAAGCTTTTTTTTTATTTAGCAATAAATTTTATTACTAATACTTGTATATGTGTGTGTATGTATGTATGTGTGTATATATATATATATATATATATTAAAAGTGGATTTAGTTCCTCTAATGGCTCAGTTGTAAGTTTGAAGAATTGTTGTACTAAAAACCAGGTTTTGATACTCGCAGCACATATGGCCTGTTGTGTAGTTTTACGCTTAACTAACAAAGAAAGTGGATGCAACATTAGACAGTGAAATTTAGTTATTTCTACATACAGTGAATAAAGGTGTTCTAACTTTTTCTCTCTCATTTTACAGTTTATATTCTTCCGTTCAGGTTTCTCATAATACAAACTCAGTAACCGGATTACCTTAGTGACTTTTGACTCTGACAGAGCTTTCATAATATTCTATTACTTGATACACTGTTGTAGATGTTCTTTAAAGCACAGACCTTAAATTATTAGTGTTACATGTACCTGGATGGGTGTGGTGCCCAGTTTTTTTATAATTCTGCTTAACTGTTTGTTTTGTTTTTTTTCAGATTTCAGCAACCCCAACTTTTCTTGAACTACATTTTAATAAGAAGTTCTAAGTATTTTGACTTCTGATGCTTCAGGTTGTTAGCTCTATGAATATGGATGGGTCAAAGTGCATGTCACAGCCTTTTTACAGAATTACATTCAAAATTTAATTCAATAATCTAATGGCAATATGTTAAAGATTCTGAGGCACACATCCAAGTTCCTTCCAAGCATTAGAGAATAGGAAGCTAGTTCTTGCGAAGCACAATTTCTCAGAATAAGCTAGCCCAAAATGAAGAAGTTGGTTAGATTGAACATTTTGCTTTTATATATTTAACTCACTTTTTATGTTGATTTTTAGTATTATGATTCAGTATATATGTGTACATGTGTGTCAGTTTTCAGTGTGTTTTTTATGGTTTATAGCCAAAATGGCAACTATTAGGTCATCAAGAAATTAATGTAGCATTTTGTAACACTTATATTACCTCCCAAAAAACAAACAACACAACAACAATGTACATTGCATATAACAGTTAAATGAACCGCCTAAATGTCACGTTAGTGTAGCCTATATAATGTGTAACGTTTAATATACTCTAATCCCTTATAGTGATGGCACACAGTGAGAAATACATTCGGCATGTAATGCTGTTTGTATACAAGAATGGGAAACAATGCCTCTGTAGCCACAAAGATAATCAAAGAAGCTTATGGAAATGTTTTGAAAATTCGTAAGTGTTAATGATGGTTCAGCAAAAATTGTTCAGGTGCCTATAGCCTTAAAAACTGTGATGGCAGGGGCCAACATGTTGGAATTGAAAATGATGCTCTGAAGACACTTGTTGAGTTTAACTCAAGGCAACACACTCGTGAAATTGCCCTGACATTGCATGTTTCTCATGAAACAATATGTAAACATCTAAGGAATATGGGAAAACTCCATAAAGAAGGTGTTTGGGTGCCTCACAAACTCTCCAATGATCATTGTTCCAACATGTGAATGTTGCTTTGTCTCTTCTGGCGCATAATGTGCGTGAACCATTTTTGGACAGAATTGTCACCGGTGATGAAAAATGGATTTTCTATGTGAATATTAGATGCCAAAAAGAATGGCTCAGTCCTAGACAAAAATCCCTTTCGACCCCAAAACCTGGACTCCATCCACAGAAAGTGATGCTTTGCATTTGGTGGGACATCAAAGGAGTAATACATTTTGAACTCCTCAATCCACAGCAAACTGTCAATGCAGAGATCTATAGTCAGCAACTGGAACATTTAAATCAAGCCCTTCATCATAAACGCCCTTCACTCGTCAATCGGAAAGGTATTCTTTTTCTCCACGACAATGTACGTCCACATGTGTCACGTTTGATGCAACACAAGATTATGGAGTTGGGTTGGGAAGTTCTCCCCCACCAACCATATTCTCTAGATATGGCATCATCACTTACCATCTTTTTCGTTCGCTGCAACACCATCTTAATCGGAAAATTATGCAAATGTGGAAGGTGTTAAAGAGAACATCGAAATGTTTTTTCCTTCAAAGCCAAAAGATTTCTTTAATCAGGGCATTAACAACCTGATTGTAAAATGGAAAAGCATCATCGATAAGAATGAAGGCTATTTAATTTAATAAATGTTTTGATATATAAGTTGTTCAGGTTTTTTCCATCTAAAAAAAAGCAACATTAATTTCTGGATGACTTAATACTTCATTTGAGAAAATAAAATATCAAAAGAAATGTTAAAAGAATATTAGTAACGTTGAAGTTGAATATATAAGATGAAGCTTTCTGAACAACAATACAATAATTTTAAATCTTAAGATGAAAAGAAATATTTGTCTCACAACAAAATTCTTGAAATTTCTCAACCTTACAAATTGGTAGAAATACTGAATCAAATTATCAATTTTCTCAAGCCAAAACTAGATATGATTAGTAAGTCTGTACTAAGTTTAAAGAAATTTGGTTAAGTATTTCCATTGTGAGAAGGACTATGTCAGCAAGTGTGAGTTGCCTACCTCACTTCAGTCCAGTAAGGGTTTAAAAATAGTATTTCATCATTAGTTAACTTGCATCATCTCTCCAGATTATGCCAACTAAAAAGTGAACTCATTTTCTTTTTTTCTTAAAAAATTAAAATTTTTATCCCATTTGTGTTTTTTATTGTACAACTGTACAAGTTTAAGTTATTCACTTGAGATTTTTGACAAGAAAGAAGCATGTCATGATTTTCCTGTTTCATTCTGCCATGATTTAAGCTGTAAATGAAACCAAGTATTAAAGACATTTTAATGAAACAGTAGTAGCTGGGATGCAAAATATAGCAGTGGTAGCCCAACAGATTTGTTTTCCCACTACATTAGTGGGGTTGCTCTCAGCATCCTCTTCAGATAGGCTCTCATGGATATGTAACTTGGCTTGTAGATATTTCAATGTGATCAATTTCTTTGTGATATGAGGCAGTGTGAGCAGTTATTTTCCATATTCTTATTTTTGGCTTTTTTTTTCACCTTTATTCTACTTAACAACTTTACGAGACAAACCTTTTGTTTTTGACTCTCCATGTCTGTCTTGGATTTCTAGACTGAACACATAGAACACCTTTTTCATTTTAATCATGGTGTCCTTAGTCTTTATCCTCAGCCCAACAAAGTGTAATTTTGGATTTACTTTTAAATCAGAGGTAGATTTCAGCTGCATTAATTGTGTTTTTTATTACATTAACATTATTGATAAAAGTGATTTTTAAACCTTGTGCTAAGAAAACTGGAATGATTCAGAATAAGTGAAAGGGCTTCTTCACTTTATCTACTTTTTAAATCTGCAGTTGTTTTCCTTTTTTCAAAAACAGCCTTATAAGATTCTAGAGCACTTGTTTCGCCAAATTTTAAAATCATGCAATGTGTGTAGTAGCACTCTTAGAACTATTTCAAATTTAGTTATATTGATATCCCTTAGCATAAGATACCAGCTTTTCCTGTCATAAACAAAAAATGCACATATGGTTTGCTGCTGTTCGTAATACCTTTCAAACATTAGGTAGGCCAAGTTCCACCTTGTAAGTTCATCATGCATGATTTTATAATTAAGAAGATTTAAGTCAACCTGTTTTTTTCTGTAGTGCCCTTTTACATTTATTGGACCTAATGAATATTGGCACTGTTTTTAGGAGGATTTCAATTGCAGCAGATACTTGTTGTAGTGCAAGCCCATTGTTGATTGATAAATCTGGATTATGACTGAAACAAGAAATCCAAGTATATTCTTTAAATGCTCTCATTATTCAAAGCATTGTCTTTTCTGACGCTGTTCATGAAATTACAGTTCAAGTCCCATTGTTCTTCTGTGTATAAGGTTGATATTTCTGTTTTCATGAAATAACTTCTTCTGGATTGTTTATATTTAGAATTAAGTTTGTAACAAGTTTTCAAAATCCACTCTGTTTAAACAGTAAAAATGGGAACCTGGTCAGTGAATATAAATCTGCAACTGTCCTGTTCAACAACTTGGCTTCTTTTGAATTGTTACTACACCATTTTGTCCACCAAAGTAAATAGGCTTTGCTGTTTTCCAGACTCCTCAGGCTCAATACTCTTGTTTTGCTAATAAAAATAACATTTTGCATCGAAATTATCGAATGTTGTTTATACACATTTTTGCAAGTGTAATTTATAAGTGGCTGGTAAACAATTAATGTTTAAATGTTTACTTTGAAATATGTACTATATATTTACTAGCTAATCAATTTCTAACAATTAATATTTTTGCATTAAATTTATTTTTATTCAACCTATTTCTTTT